TAATTATTTTGACCGGAGCCAGAGCATGGTGTGTGTTGTAAACATCTGGTTTATCATTCATCCAGCTGAACTGGTTTCTATTTTGTTAGAAGAAAAGGCTTGGGATTAAAGACATTTAAGTAATTAAGCACACGTCAAGACAATTTGGTGATGGGTAAATATAGTCTCTGTTAAATGTGCCGTCTGGGGGCTCTGGTTTAGATTTATGTCCGGCTGGAGTATAAGGATGAAAGCAGAACGCTGGGCTGAGCGGGCCTTGTTGTGGAGGGAATCAAAACCAAATGGGTTTTCAGGAGGACAGCATCATTCCTCTAAGTACCTGTCCCAAAGGATGAAAGTTTCCTTTGAGCTTGGCCCGCAGGGAGCAGAGCTGTGCTCCTTGCCACCCAGCAGCACTTGTAGATTTAATGAGACTCTCTCTGGGAGGCAGACCATAAAGTCCTGCACTTAGTTCTCGCTTCATGTCTGCAGAGCCAAAAGCAGGGCTTGGGTTCTGGATGCACATGTTCAGTAACCCATGGCAGGAGCCTGAGTCCATTCTGGCTATGGTCTTTAGTTCTTATGCTTCTGGATGCAAAGGGGCAGTGATGCTGGGCCAGTCTCCCAGGCTGTTTAAAGTGTGATCCATGCTGGGTGATGAGGAATTGGCACCTTTTCCTTTAGGGGTTAGAGTTCTAAGCAGCAGGTATGTAGTTGCTGGAAGTGTGAAGGAGAGTTAGGGCTGGTGACTTTGGGGATGAGCTTCTGCGGGACCCCAGACTTGATCCTTATTTGAATTAAGGCGCTTTTTTTTAAGGATGAGAGAGAAATGAAGGAAAATATCCTTGGTGCTTTCTGTTTCTCCATGGCCTTAATTCTGAGTTCTGAGAGTAAGAAGGCAAAGGCTTAGTGCTTTGCTCTCTCTCTCTCTCTCTCTCTCTCTCTCTCTCTCTCTCTCTCTCTCTCTCTCTCTCTCTGTCTCTGCCTGTCTTCTCCTCTCTCTCCTGCCCTCACTGTGCCTAATACAGTGAGGCAGAGTATATATGTGATCCCAAAGAAGAAAGCATTGCCACTGTGGCCACATGAATGGTGCATGATGGAACCAATTAGCCCATTTTTGTTGAAAAGGAAGGGAAAAAATCAAAAATTTTCAAAGCAGGGATTCTTTCTCTTTTTGAAAAACGTTTGATTATTTTCTTTTTCTTTCAAACTGATTTCCATGCTTGTTTGGGGTAGAGTCTTGGTTTCTAAAGTCTGGGGGTGAAAGAAGAGGCCAGCGCGACCCTCCTTCGGTAGGGAAGCTGTGGCTGTGTAGTTACCGCTCAGCTCGCCTTGCTCCCCGTCCTTCCTTCTTGTGTGAGTCCTCCCTTCTTTCTTCTCCCCAACAGCAGTGATTGGGGTCACCTATATGCTACCACCTAGGTGTCCTGTGGGAGGTGCCCAGCTACGGGTGACAGAGAAACATTCAATTACATCATCTGGGAGCCTTGTATCTGAGTCAGGATAACTCAGATTTCATAACCCAGAAGTCTTTGCTCCGAGGCAAAAGACCATTTTCCTGGACTTCTTGTCTTAGGAGGCAGACTAATCAATCGGAGTCTAGAGTTTCCTCACCAGGACAGCTTGCCAAATGAGGCAGTGAGGAGGACGCAATGGTTAGTGGGGGGTGGGGTGGGACACTTGATGACTAGAAGAGATACCAAGTAAGAGCAGCCAAGGGCCGATGGCCTTTAAACTGTCACCCCTTTGAGTGTCAGGACAGTGAACTAAGTGCAATTGATCTCCTCTGACCCATGCATGTTACAGGCTGTGCAAGACCCAGAACAATAGGAAGCCTGTGTCCTGGAAGGAAATGAGCTGCCTGCTGTAGGTGGATCTTATATGAAACTGAAATGGGTGTACAGCTTAGATCCCAGGGATTGAGGTCTTTTGAGCTCAGATTATTAGTCCGTCAGTCAGATACCCAGGTACTATGCTAAGAGAAGCTGAGACTGAGCAGGAGAGCCAAGGACCGTGAGACACCTGCTCCCCCTGCCCATGAAGTGTTGGGGACTGTCTTTGGTGTATGAACAACTGCCGTGGCAACTGTGGGCTGTGAATGAGCTAATTCTTGGGGCGTGGTCATGCTAGGGGCCCTACCTGCCTGTGATACTTCAGCTTGTCTCCATGTCGACAGCCCATTGTAGCTTTGAAACACCTCCTTACCCCGACTGCCCCTAACTTGGTTCTCCTCCCTTTGATTACTGTGGGGCGGCTTCATATTGCTGTGGTTAGGACTCTTGGACTGATTAATGATACTCTGACTGAAACTGTAGTCTTCTGAGTAAAACAAATCTGTAGCTTGTCCATCCCTGGCACACCTCCCCCACCTGCTCTCCTCTCCTCAGCACTTCTTGACCCCAAAAGTTATTTCTCATGTTTTACGTTAATCCCAAAGAGGAAACTTGAAATTGGAAGAGGACCGCTAGCTCTTGAAGGCACACCCACACACTCAGCTTTCAAATCCCTGGAGGTGGCTGAGTCTACAGAGCATCTGTGGGGCCTGGAGGGCATGGTGTATGTGGCATGTTATAACTGTAGCCAATCCTGGCAAGGTTTGAGAATTGAGGACTTGATGGAGGAGAGAAGACTGTTTGAAATCCTCTTTGGTGTCTGAATATGTGGGGGTAGCTGGACACGTGAGATAGGACATGGATTTTAATGCAGTGATGCCTAGGTCTGTGTGTGTCGAAGCCTCATTGAGGATGCAGAGCCAATGACAACACAGATCACTCAGCATCTGGGCAGCATACTGTTTTCCTCTTACTGTGGTCCACAGCCTCTCTACAAGGAGTAGTTCAGGAATAAGTGTATTCAAGGTCAAAGAGAAATTACTGGATATTGGAAACTTCCTCCCATTTCTTTCTCTCTGAGATTGAATGTGGACCCTGATATGCAGGATATTAGTACTCTGAGTTGGCAAGATACAGTTTCTCCTACCAGGAAGCTGGTGACCAGGGTCATCCCATCCTAACCAGAACATACAGACTACTTTATAGTCTCGATAAAACCAAGAATGAAACAAGCAAATAACTGTGTCCTTATGTGAGTGGAAGCTCTCCACTGTCAGTGTATTGGAGTTAGAGAGACAGCAGTATCCATTCACTAAGCATTCGACCAGTAGACTTTGTTATGGGCAATGGGCATGAAGTACTGTTAGGAGTAAATGAGTCCCTTGTGTAGGTGTAGCTTCCTTCCTTCCTTCCTTCCTTCCTTCCTTCCTTCCTTCCTTCCTTCCTTCCTTCCTTCCTCCCTCCTTTCCTCCCTCCCCTCCCTCTTTCTTTCTATTTCAGGGCATCTTTGCCCTTTAAAAATGGTTGGAGCTTGCTGTAAGACTATGTCTCCTAGGAATGTCAGAGTAGCACCCATAAAGTCTCACCAACATGACTCTGCCTAATCATGAGCAGGACAAGGATAACAACAACAGACAAAGCAGTGTGAATGGGGGAAAGCCCACAAGGCCTCAACCCTGCATAGAGAGAGAACTGCAGGCAGCTAAGGAGTGAGGGTGTGAGACATAGTCTTCTCCAAGGAAGAGCACACTGATTGGTTATCCAATACCAGATGGTCATCCCTGAAAACATGCATTTGAGTAACATTATACAAGTTGAGCAGGTTGTATTTAGGAATATGTATGTGTATACATGTAGATATATGCATATAGCAACAATTAATGAAGAGGCCATAAATTTGAAAGAGTAAGGGGAAAAAATGGAAAGGTTTGGAGGGAAGAAAAGGAAAATAACACATCTTAAAAATAAAAGAAATAATAAATTATTGGGGCACTAAAGAAATTTCATTTAGGTGTTTTCTACTGACCAGACTTCATTGTACTAGAGTTAAAACTGAGAAAAACATAGAGTACAAGAAGGTATAAACATATATTTTATTAGCCAAGGGGATGATAACATGACACGACACAAAGCCCATTTATGCATCTATGAGGGAGTAAAAGTAAGGGCAAATAATGCCAGTGGCATTGCAAGATGTTTACAACCTTGCTACCCATGAACATTCCACAGTATGGGGCCATGGAAGAGTCAGAGGTCTCACAATGTTCCCTAAACCTTATTTTGAGAACTGCTGTGCTGGTATCTCTGACTTCAGGGCTATTATAGTCTAGGCAGGCAGGTCAATAACCATAACAACGTAGTCTTGCGAAGAGGCTGGAAGGTAAGATGGAAAACACTGACATCATCTTTACCATTTGGGACACAGGGGGTCCCAAATGATGCTTGTGGCCATGTGGTGTGGAGGGTCATATGGCTGGAGTAATCAGTATGTGGGGATAAGAGGAATGTGAAGGTTCAGACAGTATATTGAATATGAAAATGTCATTGGTATTTGGGAAATGGACAACATTCCCTTATACTAAGAACCAAAGCTTGATGAAGATCCCTGCAGGGTAGAGGAGTATAGAGGAGGATGAGACTCTTAATCTCAGGTCATGGGTTCAGGCCCCATGTTGGGTGCCATTTAATGATGGAGGTTTCTGTCTAGTCTGGTCTCGCTGCCCTTCAGTCCCAAATACACACACTGAGGCTTATATTAATTATAAACCGTTTGGCCATTGGCTCCAGCTTCTTATTGGCTAGCTCTCTCTTAATTATTAACCCCATTTCTATTAAACTATGCATTGTCATGAGGCCATGGCTTTCCTGTAATGCTCTGGCATGTTACTCCTTTGGTGGCTACACGGTGCCTCCCCATTGATTCATTCTCTGTGTTCCTCCTTCTAGCATTCTCCTAGTCTGGTTGTCCTGCTTATACTTCCTGCCTGGCTAAATCCTGCCTGTCCATTGGCCAAAACAGTTTTATTCATCAACCAATATGAGAAACATGTATTCACAGTATATAGCAGACTATCCCCCATCATTGCAATGGTTCACAGCTGGGAAGAACATGAGGGTGTAATATTTATCAAATTACAGATTGAAAAGGCTCTGCTTAATGTTGTTATTCTCATCTTCTTTACTTTGTAGGTATTAACTCTCTGATAGCAAACAATATCTACGAGGCTGCCTACCCACTTCATGATGTAAGTACTCTCTTCATTGCTCTTCCCCACCCCTTGCTTTCTCTTTTCTCTCTCCCCTTCCCTCTCTCTCCCCTTTCTTTCTTTCCATTTTTAACACAGGGTCTACATGACCCAGGCTTGTCTCAAACTCACGAGCCTCTTAATTCAGCTTCTGAGAGCTGGGATTATGGGTATGTACTATGGTTGTCTATAAATACTGTTTTTATCAGTATGTTCCCTCTAATCTTCCAAAAGTTGGAGTCATGGGTCTTGGGGTAGGTGAATATATGGAAAAATGAGGCAGGGGTAAACCCTGAGATTGAAACATGTTTGCCAACTCTGAAACCTTCTCATTGCTGAAGGTAACACCTGATTCAGTTTTTGCCAAGGTCCCAAACTCTCCTTGCAGTCATTTCACAGATGGTAAGAGTCATTGGTTTTTATATGAGCTTTCCTTGATACCTTATCTTTGTTTTTGGCAAAAATGTGAAAAAAGAGATGTTGGATATGGTTGATTAAAAGTTTGCATGGCTGAGTTGTTAATGAAGGCAGGTGGATGGCCATGCTAGACACCTCAGATGCTTGGGTAATACACAACCAGGAAGCATCCCTTGGCTGGAAGTAACATTCTTCTCAATATACAATGCAATAATTCTTCAGGACAACTTGTGAAGAACTTAAGCAGTCCTTAAATTAAATACCCATTGACTTCACCATCATCCAACATCCATCACGCAGTGCAGTCTCATGCATGTGAGTAGCAGGGATTTCTCAGACAGGAGCCTTCCAAGTTCTGATATCTTTGATGTGGAGCAAATGGAGCTAAGTCCTGCAAATCATGGACACAGGATGATATGGCATGAGGTGATATGAGTTAACCCATTTACAGGCCCAGACCCTGCCATTGCATGGGCTAAGAGTGGTAACCTGGGCTCATCTTGGAAGCACAGGAGGGGGACATTTTCTTTGAAAAGCTATTCTAATTAAGCCCTACAAGGTGGTGACTAAGAAATCTAATATTGGCTCCTGACTTTCCTTAAGTAGAAATGAAAGAAAGGGATGACATTAGAAACGTTAAAATAATAAAGAAAAGCATTTCCCATTTGGCATCTGATTTTGATGATTTCATTGACTTTTTATTTGGCATCCCTTTTCCCCTTCAGGGTGAATATGACAGTCCAGGGGATGACATGAATGACAGAAAGGTAAGCCTCTTTTGTGCTGCGCTGAGGGCCTCGGGTGTGTAAAACCATGGGGGTGTGGAACTGGCTGCAAGTGTCATAAGTGTTCCATTTACATATCTAATTTTAACAGTTTTCTCATCACAAAAATCTTCATCCCACCCTTCAACTGAATGACACTGTCAGACTTCCTTAATGTGCAGATGTGAGCACCGTGGCAGAGACTAAACACATTGCCCAAGGCTACACTGCTCCATGGAGAGGCATTTAGAATCCCTTTGCCACTGGTGACCCTGATAAAAATGCCTGCTTCTCCGTGGGTGTCCATTATGGATTCTTTTGGGTCATCTTTATGACATTTTCCTGTCGTGTAGGCAGGCAAGTAGAATAAAGCCCCTCCCAAATTACAAAGGAGGATGCCGAGGGAGAAGGAAGCTGTGGCAGGCTGCATATGACAGGATTCTAGGAACCAGGGGTTACAGTTAGGAGAAGGACATTGCTTCCTTTAGAGGAACCACTCCAATGGTGGCCACAGCTCCTAACTATATAATACATTGCCAAACTCTCTGTGAAGATGTTTGTTTTGTTGTCTGGTACTCTGGGGCCATGGGGTCATCCAAGTATATGAAATAAAAGGTGGCTCCAGCCTCTTTGGTAAGGGTAGGTCTACCAGCAACTCATGGCATCCTGTTGCCCAGCCTCCGGGCGGCTCTAGTGTAGCAAGGTTGGGTGGAAGGGGGAGGGAGGGATGAGGAATCGAAACTCAAGAGATTCCCTCCCCCAACTCTGTTGTCTGGAAAACCACTCATTCCCCAAGTTGCCTTCGAGCAGCCTTCTTTTTATCCTGCCTATTAGTCCCTGTTATGAAGTGTTAAGTATTAAAAACATAAAAGGTCTTTTCCAGAAATACTGCTGTGATTGCTTACACATGTCCCCTCTCTGCCTGCCTGGGGAATCTGCTGTACTATTGTGATGTCTCAACCTCATCTGTTTCCTATCTGATGCTAATAGCCTCGGTGTTTAATTTCCTGAAAAGTCCAGCATCACATTTAAAGGAAAAGGAGGAAGCATCCCCCCATCCCATCTCACCTCTCTTAACCGACCATTTTCTGTCCTCCTACACTCTGATTTCATCACTCTCCCCTTTAAATGGTCATTACTTTTCATTGCCTGCCCAAGAAACCTACTGCTGAGTGGTGAGGACCTCAGCCTATCTGGGAGTATCACAGAGCCCAGGAATACAGTTAACTCAGGGAAATCCAGACTTCAAGGACCTCAGCCTATCTAGGAGTATCACAGAGCCTAGGAATGCACAGTTAACTCAGGGAAGTCCACACTGCTCTCTGCTATAAGCACTTGTAGAGAGAAAGGGAATTGCAGTCTGTCCAAACACATGTGTATTTGCTTCTAGAGTAATACTGTGTTGTCAACACAATATTATTATTATAAATATATTAATTAGCCCATGCCCAGGCTAATATAAGGATGATAGCAATCCTCCTGCTGGCAATAGGATGTGAGAGCCAGTGAGAGACCTGCCAGGTAGAGTTAGTTGTATTATGCTAGGCAATTCCCAGTGCTGATGGCATGATGCTACACACGATGTCTAAGTGTCTCTAAAGACAAGTGATCCCTTTGTATGGCTTTTACTTAGGTTTGCTGGTCTGGCCAGTCACTCTTACCTTTCTCCTCCTGGGCCATGGGTAGAGAGGAGGTAAACTGCCATGCTATGGGATAAATGAAACCCTGGGGAGAATCAAAGCTTCTCTCCTTCCCAGCCAACTGCTGGGAAACTGATACCCAGCTAGGACAGGAGACAGGTTGCAATGTCGATAGATGACTTTGGAGTCAGGACTAACCCTGTGGACAGCAGACATAAGGGTCCAGGGCCCATCAAGGGCCTCTTACTCTGTAGGCATGATGGATTTTCAGGGGAGACTGCAACTTTACCTTCACCCCCTTTTGATTTAGAAAATCTTTGCACAAACCAGGGTACATAGATAGGTAAAATAGGCATATGAATCAGCATATATTCCTAATAGAGATCATAAGCTTATTTTTAATCAGTTCTTGGCTATACATGTAGTTTTACATTGCCACAATTCCGAGAAAATCCAGAAGCCTGTATTTTGATTGCCTCACTAACATATCTGAAAACATTTCTTTTTTTTTGTTTACCTCTTTTATTATCTCATCAACATCATCAATAGTTCAAGTTAAATATGATATTTAGTCTTCTTTATCTGCATCACATTGCACAGTCTGAATGATTATGGTCAAATAAGTTTTTCTTTATGATCTTTAAAGTTTTTATTATTTTATATTTAAATTAGAAACAAGTTTGTTTCACATGTCAGTCCTAGCTCCCTCTCCCTCCCCTCCTCGCCCATCCCCACCACCAGCCCTCCATCCCCCTACCCAATCCCCACTCCATTCCCCAGGGAGGGTAAGGCCCTCCATGGGGGATCTCCAGAGTCTGTCATTTCGTTCAGGGCAGGGCCTAGGCACTCCCGCAAGTGTCCAGGTTGCCAGGGCATCCCTCATTGTGGGATGGGCACCAAAAGTCCATTTGCATGCCAGGGATATATACTGATCTATTACCCAGAACCCCATAGATTGCCTAGGCCTCCTCACTGACACCCACATTCAGGGGGTCTGGATCAGTCCCATGCTGGACTCTCAGTTATCAGTCTGGGGTCCAAGATCTTCCCCTTGTTCAGGTCAGCTGTTTCTCTGGGTTTCACCAGCCCAGTCTTGACCCCTTTGCTCATCACTCCTCCCTCTTGGTCATTGGGTTCCAGGAGTTCAGTTCAGTGTTTAGCTGTGGGTGTCTGCCTCTGCTTCTGTCTGTCATTGGATGGAGGTTCTAGGGTGGTATACAAGATAGTCATTAAACTCATTATCAGGGAGGGACATTTAAGGTGGTCTCTCCACTACTGCTTTGTTTGCCAGTTGGTGTCATCCTTGTGATCTCTGGAGATCATTCTAGTGCCAGATTTCCTCTCAAACCTAAAATGACTCCCTCTATTATGGTATCTCTTATCCTGCTCTCCTCTATTCTTTCCCTGACTCAATCTTCCTGCTCCCCATGTCCTCCTTTCCCCTCCTCTCCTCCCTCTCTCTTTTTCCTGGCTCCCTCTCCCCTCCCCCCATGCTCCCAATCTTCTCAGGAGATCTTGCCTCCTTCCAGTTTCTCTGGGGTACCATGCATATCCCTCTTAGGGTTCTTCCTGTTTCCCAGACTCTCTGGCAGTGGGATTGTAGGCTGGCACTCCTCTGATTCATGTCTAAAAATTCATATATGAGCGAGTACATACCATGTTTATCTTTTTGTGACTGGGGTACCTCACTCAGAATGGATGGTTTCTTCTAGTGCCACTGTCCATTTGCCTGCAAATTTCAAGATTCCATTTCTTTTCTGCTGAGTAGTATTCCATTGTGTAAATGTTCCACATTTTCTCTATCCACTCTTCAGTTTAGGAGCATCTAGGTTGCTTCCAGGTTCTGGCTATTACAAATAGTGCTACTATAAACATAGTGGAACAGATGTCCTTGTTGTATGAATGGGCATCTTTTGGATATATGCCTAAGAGAGGAATTGCTGGATCTTGTGGTAGACTGATTCCCATTTTTCTGAGGAATCTCCATACTGATTTCCAAAGTGGCTGTACAAGTTTGCACTCCCACCAGCAGTGGAGGAGTGTTCCCCTTTTTCCACATCCTCTCCAGCATAAATTGTCGTTGGTGTTTTTTATTTCCTACCTTAGCTAGGAACTAAGATTTTTCTCAGGCAAAGATGGCTGGAGATCTAGGCACTTGGCATGTTGCTCACAGGAAAAAAAATCACTATTTATTAGAGAAGAAACCATATTTGTTTGCTAACATGATAGATGCTTCTATTTATTTTTGCACAAAAAGTTAAGAGTTGGATGAATGTTGATACAGAGAACATAAATCATCTTCAATATGTTTCAGAGTGGATTGATACATTGAACTTATAATTGCCAGTGCTAAGAATGCCATTATGCCTAAATATGTAGTGCAAAATGAAGTCTGTTTAGGACTGTCTCCAAAATTGTTGGAAATTCTGTCCTAATCCCAAACCAAATTTCCAATTAAAAAAAATTTTAAATGCAAGTCAGCTACTCAAACAGCAAATTTTAAAACCAAACTTTCTAATAAGACACATTCCAACGATATACTAATTTGATATTGAGTGAGAGAGGAACTGTGGGAAAATACTATATTTTCCATAATGTAACCGTTATGTTTCTGAAGGGGCAGAAAACATGTGTATAGCAAAACACTGCAGTTCATAGCATACAGTAGTCTCAAATGTGAGCTGAGGGAGTCAGGCAGTGTTTGTTGGTGGTGTATGTTACGGTGGCGTGCATGGTGTGAGGCATGTGTGCTGTTCAGGATCGGGGCTACAGTGACTCAGTGCAACACAACACAAGTTTGAGCCTCCAGAGCCACCGCACATGCGTTACACATGTGAAGTCTGTTGTGTGTTTGGAGTTTTTCACCTTGGCCATGCTTTTTGTGATCACATTTAGTGAAGTTGCTCCACACGGAGCCATGACCCACTGTTTAAGAAGCTGTGTCCTTGGGAAGAACAAACCCTCATACACCCAAGGATTCCCCTGGTTTTGTGAAGTTCAAATAACTGTTCTCTGGCATGGCTGTGAGGAGGATCTTGACTAGGTTAAGAAAAAGGCCTTGCTGCCTTTGAGCTGGAGGATGTGGAACAAACAGCCTTGAGTGTTTTCCGGATGGGATGACTTCTCTGCGAGCCTTTGAGGATGGTTTGAAACTGTATCTCAACATGACCACCCTGCCCTGGATGCCTCCCTTCACTCACAATTTCCTTGAGATCTGTGCCTGTTCTTGTGATCTTCCCAAGGGGACCCTAGAGGCCTTGGAGGATGAGAGCGACCCCTGTCTCCATCTTGCCTCCTGCAGTGTTATAACTGAGGTGACTCCTTCCCAGGTAGGGGCTGGCAGCCTCTTTCTGCCTTCCTGGAGGGCAATTAAGTGGAGATTTCTTGCCTCTAGAGTACAGAGGCATTCCATGCAGCATGCCACTTTCTTCTGAAAGTTTTCTCTTAGCTGCAGACTGTGTTCCTCTTCCTCACCACTGTCCCATCCTTCAGACTCTCCCCTGTTTCTTCACCATCTCCTGGTCCTTTAACCCTGAAAGTGTCTGGGTCCGTACTTACTTTTTCTTCTCTGGCAATATGATGACTTTGTGGTATATCTCTTTTCCCAATAACTAACAAATTTGTTTCTTCAGCCTGGACTGTCCTTTGTGCTCAGATTTCTATACCTGGCTACTTATTCAACATCCACAAGGATACCCAAAAAGCATCTTAAATGAACATATCCTAAAGTAAACTCTTGGTTATGTCCCTATAACCCTGTTCTTCCTACAGTCATCCATTTCATGGTTAATCAAGTGCTCAGGCCAAGTCCTCATCTCCCCCACCCCCGTCTAATTCAGTCACAAATCAACGAACAAAATCAAGTATCACCCATATGACTACAGCCATCATTTCTCCCTGTATCCCCACTCTCCCAGTCTTTCCTTCACATAATAGACAGAGTGAACCTTTTATAATCTAAGTGAGTTTATTTTCCCCCCAGTAGCAAATTTCCAATGGTTTTCCTTCAAAATTCAGAGCTTTCGTCACAGCTTTTAGCACCGCATCTGGTACCTTCCATAGTAGTCATTGCCTATAGGTCTCCCAGTGTTTACTCTGTCCTGGTCACATAACCTCTTCTGTTATCCAGGCTATTCCACAGACACTCACCTCAGGGACTCTGCACAGGGAGGGTGGTGTTCTCCATATTTCTTTCTGGTCTAAGCTTAGATGTTAGCTCATCAGAGAGGCACTCTCTGTCCATCCCACCTAAAACAGCGTCCTGCCCTATCCCACATCATGTCATCCATATCATGATTTATTTTAATGGCCCTTATGAATCTTACATGTTTATAGTTGTCCACCCACATCAGGTACAAGCATCATGGCAACAGTGATTTTAATGGGTTTGCTGCAGCATTCAGGGTCTGGACAGTGCCTGAAATTAGAGAGACGTTCAGTGAATACTTGTTAAGTGGGTGAACAGTGATTGTCAGAGCTCATGCTGGGCCAGGCAAGACAGGGGTGATACTTATAGGTACCAAGTGTTTCTAGCTGTGTGTAGGTAATCCCTAGTATTTGGAGAGGGAGAAGGTAGTTCCTGTAGCCTTCTGACTTTGAATGTACCAGTGTGGACATTTCATGAGCCTTCTAGAAGCTGTGCTTTGGGGATAACATTTTGACTTTACATTGAACGAAGCAAGATGAACACCCACTTCGTTGCTAATATGTCTTCCTATTTTTCTTGCTTAGCTGCTGTATCAGGAATGGGCACGCTATGGAGTGTTTTATAAATTTCAACCCATTGACCTCATCAGGTGAGTGTGGAAGGGGACTTTCTGGGGTTGCTTAAGACACGAATCCTAACCAAAACACTGTCAACCCTCTTGGGCCCTGGCAGTCTGCTGTTTATGTAGAAGGGCTGCTCTTCCTGGGTGGTGTGCCCTTGCTCTGTGTCTTAGGTTAGGGAGGTAATGCAAGGATGTGCTGGGGAATGGAAGAGGAAGAAGATGGTACAGGTAGATATTCTAAGACTTCCATCGTTAGGTGAGCATCACACTTTCAATTCTCCTGCCAGCTCTTTGGGGATAAAAGAGAACAGTCTTATTCTTTATCAAGGAAAGGACTGGGATGGAATAGAAGCTTGGGTGGTGCCCAAGTGGCCACAATACTGTGTGTGTGTGAGGGGGGGAAAGTAATATCTGATAGATCATAGATCACAAGGGATAAATCGATGAACTTGGTAGAGGCTGAGGACTATCCACAGCTTTTTAAACTTATAGCGCTCCTGAGTCCTGGCATCCCTCTCTTCTTTGGCACCTTGAAAATTCCCCCAAGCTTCTATAAAACATCAATGAAAGTTCCTTTATAGAACTTACTAGATTGCAGTAGGTCTGGCTAGCTTACAATGGTTAGACTCTAGATTCTAGATTTCTGAGTATAGAAACTTGGTATATACTATTAGTTTTCTTCCAGGATAGAGTGTCAGGAGGCAGCATTGGAGGCTCAAATGTTCCTATTTCTTTGAGACACCTTTTCCCCTCATTGCCTTTCAAGATTCTGAGAAGCTGAACTGAGGGATCTATGTGCTAACTTGGTAAAGGCAATCATTTGGAAAAGATGGAAGGCTGCAGCTTACAGACAGACATAATGGCCTCCCTACCACATGCATCCTTGTGGTGGTTTTAATGCCCTTGCGGTGGTTTTAATGATCTAATTAGCAAGGTTGCAAACACAGAGTGTTCCTGGTCCACTGCCCTGCTTTGAGGAAGGGGCAGCTGCCAAAAGGATTGACTCCATGGGAGGAATTCCAGCTTGAGGAAAAAGAAAGCAGCATGAGGCCAGAGTTTGAGCAGGTCTCCTCCTTGTACTGCTTTGCACGAGCCTTTTCAAGGAACTGGGAGAAGCAGGTGTTCGTTCCAGATGCTTCGTTAACTGAAATCCTTGGGCCTGGGAGCAGGGGTGGGGGTGACTATGACCAGGCTCGTCACCCAGCAGCTCTGCTTCCTGGATGCCTTTTCATAGCATGGGCCACCTAGACTGTTCCTGGGGCCACACCAAGTCTGTTTCTTCCATTCACAGTGGACTTTGATCTCTTACTCTTGGCATCTCAAGTGGCCACCCACCTCTGTCGCCTGTTTTGTCTAACTACCCATTTGTTTTTAAAAGTATGAGTGAAAAACAAAAACTATCCCTTCCAGAAAGCCCTGTCTTTCCTCCAGAGACTTCAGGTGATTTGCCTGCCAGTGAAGTGGGAAATGACTCCAATATGTACTGAGGTTTGGCTACCAAAGCAACCTCATCCGCAGGGGAAGAATTACCTTTGGGGCAGAGCCCCGTTCCTGGGTTGGCAGATTCGGAGAGCTCAGCTCTGTCTAGACTGGGCCCTGGGAACTGGAGCAGAGTCAGAGGCTGTCCTCAGGACAGGCCGCCTTGGTGGGAAAGGGAGGGAAGGCTGAGCCTGGAGGTGCTGAGGTCAGATAAACACTCTATAGTGTGTGGGGGCAGTGGGCAGGCAGTTGCCTGTCCTGTGGCCTGAGGCCACATCTCAGGGAAATGCTGGAAAGCAAAGGATTGGCATCAGGGAAGTGTCCAGGAGAGGGAAGGGGCAGGCTCTCTAGGAGCCACAGGCAGATACTCAGAGAACTCTAAGAGAAAACTAAGGTGAATCGTGGGAACCAGACCTTTCCCTCTGAGTTCCACAATGAGTCCTCCACTCCACACTCTTATCAAAGGGGCCTTAATTTATCTGATTCTCTAAGGCCTCCGCTGCCTCTTTATGACCACAAAGGCCCAGGACTTCCACTATCCCTGCTAATCTGTTATTTTTCTCCTCTGTCTTTTTTGCTTTGGTTTTTGTTTTTCCAAGACAGGGTTTCTTATGTAGGGAACTCTCTTTGTAGATGATGCTAGTCTTGAACTCTGAGAGCCACCTGTCTCTGCCTCCTGCGTGCTGGGATTAAAGGTGTGCGCCATCACCACTGGCTTCCTAATAAGGTAGCTCTCTAGCATGATTTCTCTCTTTGCTTCTTGTCTTTCATCTCTCCCGCTACCACCTGCCAAGACCCACTTGGCACATGGAGGTTAAGCTGTGGCTCCCCACTCTGAGTCATCATGGGTTCCACACTGGGGTAGTTTGTGTGGTTGCTATTTACTAATGTGTGGTGCTGCCTCTTCATGCCTCACGAAGAGGCTGCACTCATGTAGCCTGGCTTGAAAGATGAATGAACATTTATACACTGGCTTGGCACATTCTAGAACACTCCTATGTACAATTGTGCTGCCTGTTAAAAGACTTGGAACTAGTTATCGTCTGCCATCAAAGGCCTTGAGGTCTGATCTTGAGGCTTGGGGTGGTCCCTTAAAGGAAACTGAATATCTTAGAGGGGAGGCAGCATGCCCATTCTTATGCAGATACCCTTCACTCTGTCTCTGAACACTACATCACTGGTGCCCAGCAGGCTGCACTATGAGACCGTGGATGGTCTCTCCAGACCAATAGTGCTCTCCCTGCTGGATCCTAAATTTGTCCTGGAATCCTTGGGGCCCAAAGGCCTTGCATGAATGTGAACACTTGCAAGAATTTTCTGGAATGTTTCCTAGGCAGGGATCTAGCAGGGACTCAGGTGCATGGGTACAACCCAAGTCAGAAGATGTCTCTGGGAGTTCCAACTAGCAGCCATTGCGCCTTAGCAGAAACAGTTCATGACCAAAAATATAGATGGGCGAAGCCTGAGGTGGAACAAAAGGGGATGAGATGATCTTTATGGAGGAGTAGGCTTCTGCCTTCACTGCTCTGTGTCAAGCGCGATGACTTAGCAGGGAGTAGCCTTCATGTACTACGGTGTACCTGAGGTCTTTTATATTTGAATAGGTCTGAGCTAATAACCAATCAGAGCCAAGACTTATGTTTTCATGAGAACTGATGTGTGCTCATGGGTTTATTTTCTTCACCTTGAGATCTTGATGTGTCTCAGGCAAGACATCGGCCTTTAAATATCTTCTGAATTAGATTCTGCTCTTAAGTGTGCTTTGCTGAAGCTGATGTCTCATTGGTATATATGTACAAGTATACACACATGTGTGTGTGTGTGTGTGTGTGTGTGTGTGTGTCTGTCATGTGTGTTTGGCAGCATGAGGAAAAGAAGGTTCTAGAAGTACTAGAAGTGCTAGGCTCAGAGATTGTAACCTGCTGACTTTGGAGGGGCTGAGAAAAGAGAACACTCACTATGCCACTCCAGTTGTGTCCCCTACTGATGTCTGCAGAGGAGACAGCCCTTGCTCTTCCCTATCTCCAGTGACAATGTCCTCATGGGTGAGGTTTCCCCGCAGCTAAATCAGGGTCAGGATTGAAGATTGAGACATGGGATGGTTTCCACAGTGATCTCAACATAATATCTATGGAGGAACAATATCCAGAGGCTTTGGATGGCCATGTTCCCCATCTTGCTACATAGACTGCAGTTTGCATACCCTAGCTCTATCCAGCTGCACTGTGACCCGGCAGAAGCCTGGCTCACAGGGTTTGTCACTTGTTACTTCCAGGCTCAGTCACGTTCCTTGTCTTGTATCCTAAGGGACATCCCACAGCAGACTGTGCAATCTGATCTATCCTTCTCCATATCTGTGCCTTGGTTTCCCTCTCTGAAACATAACCCATTCAAACACCTCCCAGAGGGGCTGGCAGGATGGATCAACAGATAAAGGGACCTGCTGTGGAAGCCTGGCAGCCCAAGTTCAGTTGCTGAACTCACATAGAGGTAGAAGGAGAGAACCAGCCTTACAAAAGTTGTCCTCTGACCTCCACATGTATACAGTGGCATCTCTCAATCTCCACCATGCACACACACACACACACACATACACACACACACAAATAATAATAATAATAATAATAATAATAATAATAGTAATAATAATAATAATAAATTTCCCTCCAGGAGGGGAGGCAGGACTGACCACATCCTTTTTCAGGAAGTTTCCTGGCAGGACAGGCCACGTTTGGGAAGGCCACAGCTGGTTTGGAGGAGAAACTACAGAGAAAAATGTTGATCAACTCACGATTAATTATTTCCTGAGCCCCACTGTCTCCTCTTGAATCTTTACCTGAGTTTTAAAAAGGTCATTCATCTTAATGCAGAACTCATTTACTGATGCTTAGAAGAACAAGCATCTTTGCTCAGCCTTACGGGAAGGTATAATGATTAAAGTAAAGCCCATGGCTTTCAGGGCTTGGCCATTATATAGGAAATGGATGTGCAAGACAGGATGAAGTGCGGCGTATCAAGACCAAAATAGCAAACACACCTAATGGTATGGGGCATTGTGGGGAGGGTCAGCGCTCCTAGCAGAGTAGGGAAGACTTCCTGGAAGAGGAGGGCACTGGATCAGGGTTGTTGGTTTCTGAAGGGCTGGTGCTGAAGGATGTCTCTTTACCATAGACCTGCACATCCTATAGATGGATACATTGTTTAGCTTGAAATTACCTCTGAAAATCCCACTGATGGAAAGTTGGGTCTATTATTGCTCTTGAATGGGGATGGGAAGCTCACACGATTGACTTACAGATCTCATCTCTTAGGATTCTGTGTCAACCTGTCCCTTGTACCTTTCTCAGCCCCGTGAGTTAGTGGGAAGCCCAGGGTTGGGAGGAAGGGAAGACTGGTTCCAGAAGTAGAGGCTAAGGAGAGATGGTGGTGACAAGCACCATGGTCCTTGCATGGGTCTGAGCACCAGAAGGTCATGTTTTACTGGGAAACACCTTTCACCTAGGAGGACATTGTGTTTGCTGATTCTGGAGAAAATTATGCACACACTC